CGTTTTAGTCTGGAGCACCGGAACGCGGGTGTATACGAGGAAACGATTTCGCACGATGCTAGGCGAATGTACTGTGTCCGATTTTAGCTCAAGTTGGATGAGTTACGCGTAGTAAATCGTAGGTATTATAAGGCTAGTAAATGACGAATTTCCCTTGTTTATTGATGTCACACTCCTTCCCTATTATCTACTCCTGATTCTTTACTAACACCATAGCAGTGGTTACAGCTCGGATAAGCAATATGTGGAGCGTGCTCTGGAGATGTGCATTACGCTGAACGTCCAAAGGTCAATAAAAGTAAAAATAATATTTGTGTTTCAAAAGGCTGAAGGAAAATTGAGTTGAGAATGCAGGAAATGCTTGATTCAGAGGCTAAATTAAAAAGAAGTTTATCCTATTAACTTCAATGTAGATTTAAGGGCTGTGGTTATGATGGTGGGGGTGGAGTTAGGGATTTTTAATTTTCAGGGTCTTCATGCCTGATGAGGTGAAACTGGTGTGGTATCAGTTAACAATAAGTTGTTTATTTATGCCTCGTTTTATTTATATTTAAAAATGTTTTTGCAACAATGCAAAAACAGTATTTGCAACAATGCAGAAACAGTATTTGCAAACATTTAGGTGCATGTATATATCTTGACAGCTATGCTAGAAAAAGTACCATCTTTGCTTACCCACTTTTAACCACGTAAACCAAAGTGCCCACATTACTCTGGTATTTATTATTAACATTTGTGATTATAATATCAAAAATAAAACAATTATTATTGAAGTAAAATTATATATATTTTTATATATACAATTATTATTATTAAACCATACCATTTATGATATTTCATGTGGAATTTTGCAGACCGGACAGTGAGGGCTAAAACCAAGGGAGGCATTCTGACAAAGGAGCAGATGCAGGCCAGACTAGACCGTGTCATGCTACAGATGCAACTCATCGCTGATGTTGCGGAGTCTGAACAACAGCAGAAGCAAGATGCAACCGAGGTATGCACAATGTGGTGTGTGTGCGTGTCTGGGTGTGTGTGCGTGCATGCGTGTGTGCGTGCGCAAACGTGACGGTACGTGCCTTGTGCGCGTGCGTGTTCGTCTTACTTGTGCACATAACACATGAGTCATGCCCCTTAGCTGGCCACATCTTACAAAGTATCAATGCTGTGTATTGGACCAAAAATCCTGGCCCAGCACTACTGGGAGTGATTCTACTGAATTAAGTTCTAGGGATTTGGGGAAGGTGTTTGATGCCATGTTAGCAAGGAACAGTTGATTATGACATGTGGTAGCATTATCAGGATCTTCTAACATTTTGCTATGTCTCGAAAGATAATGTCACTGTCATTTACCCAGCTTTCTTCCTATCATCACATATGGCAGGTAATACGAGTAGGTGCGCTTGGTACTGCTTGCAGTTAGGTTTGTTCTGATGTGATAAAGGTAGCTGTCCGTGCAAAGGTGATGAGATAATTACAAATGTAAAGTCTATTAGAGTGTGACATTTTTAATCTTGTTGTTATATCAGTTGCATGTGTCATCAATAGAAAACTGATACGTTAATGATCAGTTTCATTGTTTATTTTCAGGAGGAAAAGTCTAGTACTGGCACCAGTTCCACACCAGATCTAGATGGTTTTAATATTGTTTCAAGTGAAACCCAGTCAAGTCCAGATATGGAAGGATATGAAGTTATTGACAAGGTATGTTCAATATCAAGAGTGAGTTTGTAGGAATTATCATAAAGCATTTTAGCATCTGCCAGTAGACATTATAAGTGACATGTTTCTGCAACTTCATGGCACTCAAAATACTGCTCAGATCAAGCAAATAGCCTCCATTTACATGCCGAGAAATATAACGATCAGTTGATTCTCAAACCGCACAAGTTAGGTGTATGCAAATATGTACTGGTGAATATATTTAAAACTTTGTACCATGTCACGTGTGCATCATTTAGAAGTACCGTCTTCTTAAATACAGGATCACAACAGAAAAAGTGAAGAAAGGCATGTTAATGAAAAAGCGGAATCTAGCCGTACTTCCTATAACATTAAAGTTGAAGATGTTGGCACCACATCTGATACTGGCTACAAGGCGTCTGATACTCGTGACATCACAGCTAAGACATGTGACCCCACAGCTGATGTTGATGATACCACAGTGGACAGTAGAACAGATGGTACTAGCAACACCACAGCTATGTCAGAAGGTACAATTGCTGATGGAGGTGACACGTCCATAGGTGACACAGGTGACATTACCATGGATCAGGCAGCAGATGAAGAAACAGAAGAAACCGGCAATAGAGAATGCCAGAGTTCACAAGAATACAATCATGCCCAAGCTGTCAGGGATCATAGTGGTAACTCATCTGCTTTCAATGAAGACAGCACTAATCAAGATGAGTTGGATGAGCTGTGTATGGAAGCAAGCCAGGTAGTCACCGAGAAAATTGAGGAATAATGTTGAATACTGCAGAGTTAGATACTCATATGAACATCTGAGCAGTGTGATGATGGGATTTGTGTTGTGTCAGAATATGTTATCTCCAGTTGACACTTGTAGTACATTGACATGGGCAAATATCTCAAAACACAGGACCACAATGCCTTTTTTATATAGAGATTTGCTGTTTTATAGTTAAGTAGTTTCAAGTATAACACATCTCTTCTAGTCACCTTTCTGTGGTGAATTGCTATGGTATTCTTTATGAACGTTAAGCAGCAGGGCATTAGTAAAATCAACAGTACATTAGTACTGATGCCATTTATCTAGTATTTATTCAATTTGATCCTACATTGTCCCTGAGAATATGCAATGAAAATTAACACAGATTTTAGTTGCATGCAATTAATGCATATACACTGTATGATTGATGTATCTAACACCAATCTTATAAGTTATGACCCATGACTACTGATACCTGCCCTTTGGTATTTTCAGGAGCACATCATACCATGTGGTGTGATGTGCTTCTAGTATTATTCAGATATGAGACATATTACTAGATGGTTTATGAAAAAACAAAAATTTCATAAGCAGCATGATGTTTACCTAGTATGATTGCGAAAATCTGTACCTGCATGTGTCAATGGCATAAGGTATGATAAGTAAAGTGTTGCAGTGCGCTTGTGTGCTTCTTCCACATATGTGATCTAATCCCTATCTGATTTAAATTGGGGTGAGGATCACATATGATTAAAATCAGAAAGTCGCGTGTATCCCTGTTTTAACCCTATGTGATTTTAATTTACACAAAACCTTATTAACAGTCACACAAGTGAAAGGGGTCATCAGATTCATGGATGTACATAGGACCTGGAAGCAGTTTATATGTATATATATATATATATATCAGAAGTAGATAATAGGGAATTATCCTATTATCTACGTCTGATATATATATGTAACTGAATTCTATAGTATATATAGTTATATGTGATATGCATTATCTATATCCTCACAGAAAGAAAATAAAGTGTGAATGTGAGTTTGTATGTTGATAATGACAAGTCTATAGATTTGAAACTGGCAATACATAGTGTCTTCTAAGATGATTTCTAGTTCAGGAAATTGTTTCTAAAGGCGTCTTCAGTGTGGTAGTTACCGCGTACGGACATGTGCAATCAATTGGCATAATATCGGTATTTATACAGAATGTATTTATGAATGTATGCGCGTGTGTGCGTACATGGGTGCGTGTGTGTGGTTTCTAAACGAAGTAGGCATGGATATGATGTAGTACATGGCACCTATTTCAAGAATGTATTATAATCTCGAGTCATTTTACGTGCAATGCAATGAGCAGTGTTAATGTTATGTGTGAACTAGGACCAAAGGCACTGTTGAAGACTTATTTCACGTTTGTTTGATAATGAGAACGACATTGTTCTCTTAAGTTGTTAATATAGTATAAGATGCGGTAATTTATTGTAAATGTCAGCTAATTTATGGAATGTAACCTAATCATTACACACTTGACGATACTTCCGTGTGTAGCTGAAGCATCACTACTTATTGTTACTCGTATCCTTCTTCGTATACGCTTAAAGGTATAATATGTAGTGTTTAGACGCCAGCTATGTAGGCCTTATGTTCATGTTATGAGATTTCTAACCCGTTTTCGGTTTAAAGGTTTGCTGACCTAATATGCCGACCTAATATGCTGCGGCACCAATTTGGACGTCAAGGTTTCAACGTTAGTTTAGCTAGATTTCGATTGTTTGTTCCTAATGTGTTAAATTATAGTGTGGCTGAAAGATATAGAGGTAGACAGACTGTTACTAGTTCAATAAAATACGAGTATATATGTATGCGTGTGTACGAAAGTTCGTGTTTATTCTGTGACGGTGCGCGATCTACAGATGGCACTAATACCATAGTCTTGTCACGCCTACCAATCGATAAGCGCTTTTCTACACACCTGTCCCGATAAAGATTTTGATGGCTGCTTCAGTCTTTTATTTTCCAATAACGCTGTGTCACCTATATTTACTAGTGATATATATATATATATATATATATATATCAGGAGTAGATAAAGGGATTCCCTTTATCTACTCCCTTTTATCTACTCCCTTCTCTCTATCTACTCCCTTCTCCCATCTTTATCTACTCCCTACTCCCTTTATCTACTCCCTTTTAGATTCCCTTTATCTACTCCTGATATATATATATATATATATATTATATCACTGGTTCATAATATTCATAGTGAAATGACAATCGATAACACGTTTAATTATGCGCTACGAAAATCCCTCTATCAAAAATGTTGGCGGTAATTTATTACCCTTGTGCCACATCTTCGCTTACAGGAGAATTTTTTATTTATTTTTTTCGCATATGTCACTGTAGTAAGTGTGGGCTTTAATTGCACTATATAGCCCATGTACTTTTTATAATTTCATTCAGCAAGCTCGTAGCCACACCGGCGCGCGCACACACGCGCCCGCACACACTGCGATTTGGACGCTCGCGAATAAGCGAGAAAGAACGAGAGAGAGAGAGACAGACAGACAGACAGTCATACCGTCCGAGAGTAATGCAGTCCATTTATTTTTGTATTCGGTGTATTCTCTATTTCTCACATACATATAGTTCTTATTGAACGCTAATTAGTGTGCGCTCGTGCGTGCATTTGTGCGCATGCGTGTGCGTGTGCATATAATACTAAAGTATGGACTCACCGGTATCGCATATATGATTATATAATTTTCTGAGTATTGCAGGATCTAGGTAACTAGCCCCGGTACATACAAACAATACAGTTAAAATATGTGAATTGTGTAGTAGGCCTACCCCGCGTTATGGAAGTAATGCGCTCCAGAAAAAGTGCGTAACGCGAAATTCTGTAGCGCGAATCATGTTCTCCTATTGACTTCCATTATTTAATATGAGATGCGTTCTTACAGAATATCTTTGTGCAAAGTTAGGCAATACACTGATAATTATAAATCCAAGTAAATATTTATAAATTTAAATGTTTAAAAAATAAAAACCTTATCTTGATTATTTAATTATGTAACACAACATCAATTAGCGAGCCTGTGAAACCGTACCCACGTGTGTGGATGTGTCTGCGCGTATATATGTGTGCGTGCGCAGGCCCGTAGCCAGGGGGGGTTCGGGGGGTTCGAACGAACCCCCCCATCCCCGAGCCACCACCCCCCAAGCAAAAAATATTTTTTTTGACAATTTGCAAGAATTTCACCTTAGGTCGCTCCATTTTAGTCTAATAATTGCAAAATCTCCATCGTGCAGGAGGATGAACAGTGAACACCCCCCTCCCACACCCTCCCCCCGCTCGGTCGCTTGGCTCCCTCGCCTGCGCTTCACGCCCGAGCAGGGGCGTGTACAAGGGGGGTCCAGGGAGTCCGAACCCCCCCTTGCTCGCGCAGAAAACGCATCTGAGGGGGTCTAATTTTAATTATTTTTTGGGGGGGAGGGCCCCCCAGACCCCCCCTTCGCGTGCTCGCAACGCTGGGTTACGGTTAAACCCCCCCTGGTACAAATCCTGTACACCGCCCCTGCCGAGCAAATTGCCAACATTAGAAAAACCGAACCCCCCCCCCAAATATAAAGCTGGCTACGGGCCTG